CCGTGCTGTTTACATGTTCTATTACTGTTTATCGTTAATGCTACCTCCACACTACCGTGATATGTCAATAATTATTGCCTACATAACTTCAACAACCCCTAAGTGAACGAGGGCGGTCCGATAAGTACTTAGACTCACTGCCCGATGGCGCCACTATCGCAAGATAAATACACTATAGTGTAGTACCTTCCTTTAGACGGCTACTGACAAAATTTCAGCAGATTCGGACCGGTAGTTCTGTTTTGAGAGCGTGTGAAAAGAAGCGCGTCCGTTGATTTAAAAAAATGGAAAAGGAGCAATATCGGTCTATCTGTATATCTGTTTTTGGAAGGGAAATCCCTCAGTGAAATCAAAGAGCGCTTGGATGCAGTGTATGGGGACGCTTCTCTTTCGATTGCGACCGTCAAAATTGGTTCAACGAATTTCAACGTGGTCGCACGTCAGTTACTGAAGAGCCACGCCCAGATGTCTCGAAAACAGCAACCACGGAGGATAACGTGATGAAAATTTACAATCTCGTTTTGGCAGACCGCCGATTGAAGGTGCGCGAAATAGCTGAGATCGTAGACATCTCAAAAGTCCGCGTGGTGCATATCCTTCACGAAATTTTGGATATGAGAAAACTGTCGGCAAGATAGGTGCCGCGATTGCTCACTCCGGACTACAAGCGCAACCGTGTGACCACTTCAGAGCAGTGTTTGGCGCTGTTTAAGCGCAATCCGAAGAAGTTTTTACGTCGTTACGTGACCGTCGACGAAAAATGAATCCACTGGTACACACCAGAAACCAAGGAACAGTCGAAACAGTGGACTTTACCCCGTGAACCTGCTCTGAAAAAGGCGAAGACTGTCCCATCGGCCGGAAAGGTGATGGCTACCGTTTTCTGGGATTCGCAAGGTGTGATATACATTGACTACGTGGAGAAGGGCAAAACGATCACAGGACAGTACTAAGTCGAAAAAAGTGCTCTCTCGTTCTCGCTAAGTCGAAAAGAGTCCCCCGTGACCATGGGTGCTGGAAAGCTACTTAGCGCTACTTAGCGGTCAGACGCCGTAGAGTCTATATTACCTGAGGATGCCTCGTGTAGAGGCGAAACACGTGTCGTATTATCGTCGATGGTGTGTCTTACCTGGAATAGTGGTGTTGAGAGTAGTGGTGCTTGGTCTAGTGGTGACGGAGTTAGTGTATGCAATTGAGGGAGGGCGGGAGGTGCGCTTCAATTCAGGTAAGACACATCATTTTATATGTTTAGCGGAAAGTTGCAAAGAAATTTATATTTTTATTTTTTATTATAATGGATTTCCGCAAAGTAACGCCTGATTCTATCAATTATCAAATGTACTCTTAGTTTTAAGCGACAGTATGATTAAAGTCTTGAGCAGAGAAACACGTCTCCCTTTCATTTAACAACCGTCCAACATAAAATGGTGACACTGTCAGGCGGTGCGCGGCGACAATGCATGCGCACCGCCGCGGTCTGCATAAATTTAATGAAAAATGAAAAAAAATTCAATTAAAAAATTCTACCTACTATAGATATAAAACTGAAGGAAAAGTTTTCAATTATTGAAATGACACTACCGGATGTGACAAGTAAACCAAAACTGACCCATTAGAAGAGAACAAAATCTATTAGAAAAAGAAGAAAATGTTATGAAAAACAAGGAAAGATCAACTTTAAAAACAAATATTATGACAGCTTCAATTATAACATGAAGATTAAACGAACTAAAATAAATCGGTGAGACCACTAATTTAAGAAAAATAGAAGAAACTTAAAGCATGCAAGCCTTAGCCGATAATAAGATAGAAAAAAATTGAGCCAAAAAGAACAAATCATGAGGTAACTTCGCATCTATGTGATTTTAATTCTATTTCAAACTTTATTTATTAATTTTAGATTGGTTTTATATTCTTTTTGCTATTATGTTTTTAAAGTTAAATATTAAATATTCTGTATTTTACTTATGATGAAGTTGAAATTATTAGATTATTCGCAATATAATTGATTATTCAATATTTTTATTACCTACAATTAAAAAAAATCATAATACAATATTAAAAAATTAAGTTAAATGTTTAACACTTATGTGGCATTTCTATTAAGACGCAAGCATTTTAAATTCCCTTTTATTCAGTTATAGTTTTATATTATTTTATTACTGTGTCCTGCCAAGCAATTAATAAAATAATTGATTCCCATGTTACGTACTTGATTTGAAATTACACAGTGATACATTTTTTAGATTTTTTACCGGAATACAAATTTTACAAAGGGTAATAAACAATTTACTATCATTGTAAGTTTTAGTTTTTTTTTTTTCTAAAGGCATTAAATCTTAAATTTATATAGTAATTTATGTCAAATATTAAAATTTGTTCTTTTAAAAGTTTAAATACATTGATGTATCTTTGTATAAAGTTGATAGCTCTTATAGTGATTTTCAATTATTCTGTATATACACGATATAATAAATGACATACTATTAGTAATATTTTTAGATCTTTATAAAAGTGATATAAATATTAACGATGTAACCATGTGGACTTCTGAATAAATAAGAAATTTAAAATATAATTTTAAGGTACATTTTCTTCACTTGCATTTATATAGGTAGTAACAAATTGTACACATTACGTTGACATTAGGCACGATCATACGATGCGATTATTTTAACTTTTATTATTAATTATGTTTTTCATGTTTTCTGGCTAAAATAACACTTTTATTTATTTTGAAAGACAAGAAACTAGTCTAGGTAGGTAAATATAACAAGAGTCAATCTTTACACGGTGAATATACAAGGTCTGCTAACTAACCATTTCTTATGGATGATACCGATATATTTTTAAAAATATGATATTAGAAAATGTTATAAGATGAGCGTATCCTATACCTTTAAACGAGCAATTCTTGTATATATATATATATATATATAATCGGAATCTCGGAAACGTTTCCAACGATTTTCATAAAATTTAGTGTCGAGGGAGTTTCGGGGGCAATAATTCGATCTAGCTTCGATTTTTAGAAAATGTCTTTTTGTCCGTGTTTACAGTCAATGAAAAACTGCTACAGTCATATAGTAATTTTTTTATTATATAGTAATTTTGACATTGTGTTAATGATCGTAATAGCTAAAGTGGATATCGAGCGGTCGCGACATCATATAGCCTTGGTCCGCGTCTTGTTTTCGGTCCGACTTTTTTTCCTTTTTTTTTTCAAGTTCCCTTCTTTTGTAAGAAAATCTATTATTTGGCACTTTTTTTAGTATTTTTTAAAAATACGAAAATTTTAATGAAACTAATTGCACTCATGATTTTTTATTCAAACAACTAATTTAGTTTTTTCTATTATGTCAATAAGATAAAAAATATTATTCATCAGTATGTAATTTGTATCTAAATGTGATTTCAAGAAAAACCGAGCAAAGCTCGGTCATCCGGGTACTCATATAATAAACATAGTAACATAGATGATACATTTAAACTAAACACTGTTAGCAACATGTAAAGCCCCGTATTCATGGTAAACATCTGTTTAGTAACAAAGTTGAATCAATGTGTTGCGGAGTTGCTGGCAACACTGCGTGTTGCAGAGTTGATGGCGTCATGTTGACAAGCTCTCGCCCGACAAGCGTAAACATCAGCTTAGCGACAATTGTTGACGTGTGTGAACGTGTTTGCAACAGTTTATAAACATGGCAGTAGTGTGGAGCAATGATAAAATAATGCAATTAATAGAATTATTTCAATCAAAATCATTATTTTGGGATTTTTCTATAAAAGAATACAAAGATAGAAACAAAAAGGACGATGCATTCGAAGAAATTTCTCAAGTCCTAAATATATCCAAAAAAGACGTGGAAACTAAAATACATGTATTACGTACTCAATTTACTAAAGAGGAAAAAAAAGTTGTCGGAAAAAAATTACAGGCAGCGGCGCAATAGAAAAATGTAAATGGATTTATTACGAGCCATTGGAATTTTTGTTATTTGGTGCAACTACTTCTGGTGAAACGGATACTATGAATAAAACAGTAAGTTGTTTTGTATATAATTTTTATTGTACTATTGTCTGTAAAATTATTACAATTACGCTACATTATTTTGCCATGGAACACTTCCCTCTGGAGTTATAAAGTAATCGGCAAACTGTTCTCTAATACAAAAAGCTGATTGTGATGCAGGCCTGCCACGTCTTTGCAAATCACTCCTAGGAAACGAACCTAGTTCTCTTCGCCATGAACCTTCTAATAGGTTACCTTCAGAGTCTTCAAAATCAAAAGTTTGTGGAGGTGTATATATGGATCTGGAAACTGTGTTACGTCTTAAGAAGTTTTATAAATATACATAAACAATTGCCACGCGTTCACAATTGGCTGGTTTTAACGGAATAGGTTTAGTGAATACACGGAACACCACACATAGAATGCCAAAACCATTTTCATTTTCTATGATCCTCCTAGCTCTTGATAGTCTATAATTGAATATACGCTTTTGTTCCCACGTTCATGAATGCCAAGATATGGTTTCATGATGTTCTCCGTTAGCGCGAAAGCACTGTCACCTGCAATAACATATGGCATTTCTGGTCCGCCTTGTGTTATTGGTTCAGGACGTGGCAGTTTAAGTGAGTTTTCTAACAATGCATTATAAAACGGTGTTTCCTGAAATATTCCACCGTCGGACGACCGACCCTTAGCTCCACAATTTGCGTATATAAAGTTATAATTGCCATCTGCAATTGCTAGAAGTACCATGCTGAACTGATTTTTGTAATTGTAGTATTCACTTCCAGAATTATTTGGCGCCACAATCAAAACGTCTTTCCCATCAATGGCTCCAATGCAATGTGGAAAATTCCATCGTATTACGAATTCACGACTTATTTGTCCTGTTCCTTGTTCCTGCTTCGAACTTGGAACATACAAATATTAAAAATAATAATAATATTATAATTTATAGGTAGATGAAAACAATGCACTTGAAAGTGGTATGGAGTTAGAGACATTTCAATCACCAAGGCTTATATCGAAAGCTACAACATCTACATCTTCGAGGAAAAGAAATAAGACAGATGAATCAAGTGAAATATCAGAGGTTTTGAAAAGTGCGAAAAAAAAGATGGATGAAAAGGAAAAGAAGCATCCATTTGATATTTATGGTGAATATATTGCTGCTGAATTAAGAAGTGTCAAAGATGACCAAGCCGTGACACAGGCAAAGTACCACATTAATAATATACTGTATGAATTAAAATGGGACAATATAATACATATGGATATCAAACGGCATCTTCTCATCCATCATCAACACCAAATAATGTCCAAGAAACTGAAATAGGGGAAATTGAGAGACATGAAACAAATAGACTAGATGCAATACAAGACGAAACAGAAGATACGGCTATACTAAACTTAGTTAATAACTATCTCAGTGATGAATCAACACAATAGCATATACTGTTTTTTTTTTGTGTTTTTTTATTATTAAAATACTTGATTACACAAATAGTATTCTTGTACCTACCTTGACATATCCTGATAGTGAGTTAATTAGTTCTTGACATACATCTGGTACGATTTTGCTAATCAATTGTTTTGATACTCTGAATGTGTACGAAAGAGAACTGTATGAATCTCCAGTTGCAAGATACCGTAATGTAAGAGCCAGCCTCGTTTGAGGCGAAACTGGCTGACGAATATTTGTTTCCCTTTTGGCTATTAATGAACCAACCATTTCCAGAAGATGTTCGAAATCACTTTTCGACATTCTCGTAAAGTTACAAAATGATCCATCTGTCATTATGAGGTCACTCATCAAATTTTCTCTTTGGAAAAGATAGTTTCGAATCCACCATCTTTTTCTCTTTTTTTATTAGAAATCCTATACATCAGATACAGAGAACACAACAACACTACCTCCTCGGGCAACATTTTAACGCAGACTGGCGTGTGGACAACCTGTATTGATTTAACCCGCGAGTAGTCGCGCATGGGTCGAAAAGACCCAGTACCTTGTTTCTTGTTCCATAACTTTTTAAATGTTGGTTACTATTCAAGGTCGCGCTCAGTACCTTTAAGCTACAATATAGGCTACCCCGCCTCACTCAGTTCACGCGCGGCGTTTGGACAGCACGAACGTATAAAGTGAGTATGGGTCGTTTTGACCCTTACGCGACGGTTTGTGTAAGTGTATTATTTTTCTTTAAAAATATTTTTAGTTTATTTTTTTCTTTGCAGAAATATCGCGTAATATTTTAGACGATCACAGAATTCAATAAATTCTAGAGGAAGATGCTATTGAAGGAGAAGTCTCTTCAGAAATTGAAGATAACTTATAGATCGACGATGACGACTCAAATTCCAGTCAAAGCGGCGATGATGATAATTCTGAGGCCGAAGATTTTTCAGCAGGTAATATTTCTACCGAAATTTTACACAGAAGACCTGATCTCTGTGATGTGCCTCTGAGTTATATCCGTCAAGGATACTATGTGGGTAGAAATGGCTCCACCAACTGGAGTATTGAGGAACCCCCTAGAAATGTTCGTACTCGTAGCCATAACATTATATTTCATGCGCCGGGACCGATTAATGAGGCAAAAGATGCACTTACGCCTTTGGACTGCTGGAGTCTTATGTTCCCTGACAGTCTTTTAGACATGGTTGTGACATATACCAATATGTATATTGACAGTATCCACGATAACTTCGAAAGAGAAAGAGACTGCTTACCTACGGATTTGGTAGAATTGAAGGCTCTACTTGGGCTTCTTTATTACTGTGGAAAACTTCGTGGAGCGCATTTGAACACATTTTTTGGCAACTGACGGCACTGGATCAGACGTGTGCATAGCTACCATGTCACGACAAAGATTTCATTTTTTACTTCGTTGCCTTAGGTTTGATGGCTTGGTGACTATTGATGAAAAACTGGATCCATTCCGTGATCGTTGTCCATTTCGCCAGTACATGCCGAAGAAGCCTGCCAAATACGGAATAAAAATATTTGTAATGGCTGACTCAAGAACTTACTATTCGGCATGAGAAGTCTACACCGGAAGGCAAAATTCAGGACCACATGCTGTAGATAACTCTCCTCCAGATGTCGTGAAACGTTTGGTTGAGCAAATAAGAGGGTCTCATCGTAACGTGGTAATGGATAATTGGTTCACGAGTATCCCATTGATGACAGAATTGTATGAAGATTATGAGCTTACGGTTGTAGGGACTCTTCGTAAAAATAAACCAGAAATAACCCCATGCTTTGTTGTTACACGAGGACGAGAAGAATGGACTACCTACTTTGGCTTTAAGCCTAATTGTACATTAGTATCGTACTCACCAAGAAAGGGAAAAGTGGTGCTTCTTGCTTCTACAACGCATGATGATGCGAAAATAGATGTTGATACAGGAGATAAACGCAAGCCAGAAGTGATAACGCATTATAATACGCATAAATGTGGAGTGGACGTGGTTGACGAGATGTGTGGTACATATTCTGTATCAAGAGTAAGTAAAAAATGGCCACTAACGATATTTTTTGGACTTATGAATGTGGGATGTATAAATGCGTTTGTTATTTATAACGCAAATATAACGCATATAAATCAAGAACCCCTCGAAAGACGTAACTTTTTAAAAGACATAGCTTTATCCCTTGTTAAACCACAAATAGAAAAGAGGTCTTCTATTACGACTCTGCCCAGACACATTCGGAGCAGAATGTTTCAAGTACTTGGCAGAGAAGAAAGTACAGATCAAACGGCATCGGCTGGGCCTAGTAACATTCGTGGGAGGTGTTCCACCTGCCCCCCTAAAAAGGATAGAAAATCCAAAACTCAATGCCAAATATGTAAATCTTTCATATGTAGAGATCACACCGCATTTTTATGCATTAATTGTAATCAGAAAATGAGTCAAAAGTAAGATAAGACGGCAAGAAGACTAATTAGAAAACAAATAAGAAATATTTTGAGAAAGATTTTTATGATAAGTTTGAAAGCTGCTTATAAAAAAACTTGTTACGTTAAATGTTTTATTTTATTAATTGTTTTGGGGGGGGGGGGAATTTATTAGTTTTTGTAAGAATAATGTTTTTTTTTTCAGTTATACTAGAATAAAAAAGTTAGACTGTGATTCTGATTCCTATACATAAAAAAGTAAGATTTAGTAGCACTTAACTCTTTGCTATTGTGATAAAAATAAAAAATAAATCAAAATATATAAATATTTGTGACTCATTATTGTTCTAGTTACCCTTTTCTTTTACGTTTATATAAAAAAAATATAATTCCCTTTATTGGCATAGAATAACGTACTTAACTTTGGGGTCTTTTAGACCCTCACGCGACCGCTTATGTCACAAAATGAGACGCGAGTACCGGCGGGTTAAACATAGTTGCTAGCAACATTCTCGCCGCTCACCAACAATGTTAATCAACTGTTGCTAAGCAAATGTTTACCATGAATACGGGGCTTAACATAGTTAGCAACATGCAACACATGATCAGGAGTAGGATAAATCACAACATTGTAATAACGATAAAAATAATAAGTATAGGAAAATAAATAAGTAAATGTGATAGTATTGTTATATAGATAAAAATATAAATATAAATAACAGTCAAAACAAGAATAAAGTAATTAAGCGAGGTTTTAATAACAATGTTTCGTAAAAAAAAGTTAAACACCGACGAAGAAAATTAATTGATAAGAATGTTATCTCATTTGTACAAAATTAGAAAGTATGTAATTGTCATGACGAATGGGAGAAAGGAATGTACGAACGTGCGAGTACGAATGATTTAGTTGCTAAGTTTCTTCAATATTGGACTGATCACCCAAATATTGATGATGCTTAAACTGTGCGAGTTGAAATGAGCGAGAATAATGCAAGGTAGTATATGGAAGTGGAGCACGAAAGTATATAAATAAATAACAAGGTATTGAATAAATAAAGACGGAATAAATATTTATGATAATAATAAAATAAAAGAAAATATCACGGAACAAGGGAACGTCTATCACTGGAAAAGCATATAGTCCTCGAGCAAGGTATGCTTCCGTGATAGGATGATAAAATCGGGAGTAACTGGTACTAGGGAACAACGCCTTCAGTACAAGTGATGTATATGAGTTTACTCATATTAGTACTGTTAGGGAGCAGAGAAGTCTTAAAGGGGGACGCCCATTTTCGGCCATGGAACGCCCAACAATGTGAATTTGTTAAAAAATTATATCTTTATTTATGGTTATTAATCGCGGTATTCATTTATCCTCAAACAATGGGAATATTTTTGCACAAATTAAAAGTACCGGAAACATAATAATAAAAATTAGGTAAATCATTATGTCATTAGTTTGTGAATAAAAGAAAAGTGTTGCCAATCACAAAACACATTTAAAAAAATCGATTCTCTTTTTCGATCGATTATTTACGGTGTCATCGTTACAGTGCTAATATAATTTTTAAATAATTATGATGTTACGATAATTAAACAAGCGAATTACTAGCTGATTTCTAATGAATTCTTTAGAGAGTAACAAATGCTACGGCACAATTTAACTGTTAATCTTAACCGATCTTCTTTGAAAACAGATAAGAACTGTTATTCTTATCTGTTTTTAAAGAAGATCGGTTAAGTTATTCTTATCTGTTTATAACAACACATTTAAAATAGAATCATGTTATGATAACGAAACAAGTTAGTTTCCAGCTGATTTACCATGAATCCTTTAACCTTTTGAGCGGCAAAGTCGCCTATACTTGACCAACACCTGCGGGCCCTGAGCGCCAACGACGTCTATAGTTGACAAAAAACCCGGCTCCGAAAAATATGAAATATAGATATTGGAAAATTATTACAGGTATTTTAATTCTACACTCCTCAAAATAGGAATAACCCAGCAACATGTGAGTATAAAAAACAAGTCTTCTAGAGCCACAAGTACTAAGAAACATTGAACTAATAAAAATGGATTTTTATCTAAGCAAATACTATGTCCAGCACGCCAAAGTCGTCTATGGTTGACCGCTAGTGTCAAACGCGGGAGGCATAGATTTCTTGAAAACTATCCAAAATTCAGCTCAATGGTGTTTTTTTTCTATTATTATTGATATTTGAATAAAATTAAAGGTTATAAACATAAAACTATAATTAGCTACATGAATAAAAAAATGTTATCAGATTATCTTCGCATAATAAATCTAATATCTCAACTCTAGCGCATCTTTAGCGCGTCATCGAAAATCAGTTCACTGGGCACCGTGATCAAGGATAGACGACACCCTGATGACGTCATAAGTGATTACCGAGAAAAGTAGAGCAATGCAACATGAAGGATTGGTCAGAACTCATTCGGATTTTGGAAAGCGTCGATGATGATGAATTTTGATTTTTGATTGATGAATTGAATTTTTGATTGATTGGTGAACAAATATGTTTATTGATTCCATGACCAAGATTTTAGTATTATAAGGCTGATTTACCTAGTGCGAATAATTATATACAATTGTTGATTAATGAATAATTACGTACCTTTTTTAATAATAATACAAAATTACAATTAATGTTTTTTTTTTACTTAGGGTGTGAAGAGCAATTTTTCATTTTGTGTTGTGCCATTTTCTTTCTCAGTCTCAAAATCATCTAGCAGCATCAGCATCATATCAAATCCCCATTGTCATAAGAGTGTAAGACTTTTCTTCTGTGCGTCACTTGGCCTACGTCTTCCCCGACACATAAAATATTATGAATCGATGTCTGTATATTTCGGTTAGATCGATTTTGAAATCGATACACAACATTCTAAGAATGTTTCAAAAGGGAAGGTCAGCTACGCCGTTGTTGTCCAGTCGCGACAGTGTCGTCATTAGGATGGAGAGTAGTGCTAATGTTTACCACTATTTTATTGTTATTGTTTGTTTTTTATTTATGTTTATATGTACAAAGTACATATATAAAAAGAGTGGAGGACGGCACAAGATTAAATAAAACATACAGTTTATTAAGAGTCATTTATAGCATAAAAAACCAACAAAAACAAGTTATTTCACGTTATCGATATATCAACTCTTGGCAACACTATTTTGTTTTGGCGCTTTGGCGTACAGGACACGGTAATGCGTTTTTGGCGTGGCGCTCAAAAGGTTAAAGCTTAACAAAACGCAACTGCACAATTTTTATCAATTTCAAGACAAAAACAACCGTTGTTATCGGCTTGGTTGAAAACGTTAACAACCGCCTTCACATCTGTAGTTATTAAAATTAAATAAGCGATTTAATAGCTGATTTACAATGAATTCTATGCAGTATAACATAACGCTACTGCACAATATAACTGTTATTCTTATCTTTTCTTAACAATACATTTAAAATGAAATCATGTTACGATAATTAAACAAGTGAATTTCTAGCTGATATACCATGAATTTTTAAGAGCTTCATAAAACACTACTGCACAATTAACTGTTCTTAAAAATACACTTAAAATAGAATTTAAATAAAAAAGGAAGATACATTTTAAAAAGCGAGCAGAAGTTAAAACACCTCCAAGATTATTCTCTTTTTATGAAATTATTAATCGAATAATAATCGAATCGCTATGGATATTATGATGTTATGATAATTAAACAAGCGAATTACTAGCTGATTTACTATGAATTCTTTAGAGTACAATAAAATGCTACTGCACAATTTAACTGTTATTGTTATCTGTTTTAACAATACATTTAAAATGGAATCATGTTATGATAATTAAACAAGTGCATTTTTAGCTGATTTACCATGAACTGTTTAGAGCATAACAATACGCTACTCCACATTTTAACTGTTCTTAAAAATACGTTTAAAACATAATTTAAAAAAATAAAAGAAAATATATTTTAAAAAGCGTGTAGAACTGAAAGCGAAACTCAAATATTATTATTTTTTCATTAAATTACTAATCGAATACAAATCGATATCGTTTCGTTGAATTTATGATAGTTATGTGGCAACATCAAATCTGACAGCTATAGGAAATATGTCATGCGAAATGAAATCACAATTCAACAAGTAAAAAGGTACTAGTGAATTCACAACTAAATAGTTGCCATTGTGTTATTTTGTTTGTTATTTTTCAAATAAATTCTCAAGAACTCATATGGAGTGAGATTGTCGATCACATTATAGTGTGACAACAGTTAAAAGTAAGTGTTCAACAGTTTTTAATTTATTAATTCTAGTGCTGATATTTGATAGTGATGAATGTATGAAATGATGAAGTTGTTTTATTTTTTAACATATGCACAAGCTATGCACTTACACGCACACGCACGCACATACACGCCACGCACGCACGCCACGCACGCACGCCACGCACGCACGCCACGCACGCACGCCACGCACGCACGCCACGCACGCACGCCACGCACGCACGCCACGCACTCACGCCACGCACGCACGCCACGCACGCACGCCACAGCCGCACGCACACGCACGCACGCCACGCACGCACGCACGCGACGCACGCACGCCACGCACGCACGCACGCACGCACGCCACGCACGCACGCCACGCACGCCACGCCACGCACGCACGCCACGCACGCACGCCACGCACGCACGCCACGCACGCACGCCACGCACGCACGCCACGCACGCACGCCACGCACGCACGCCACGCACGCACGCCGCACGCACGACGCACGCACGCCACGCACGCACGCCACGCACGCACGCCACGCACGCACGCCACGCACGCACGCCGCACGCCACGCACGCACGCCACGCACGCACGCCACGCACGCACGCCACGCACGCCACGCACGCACGCTCGCCACGCCGCCACGCACGCCACGCACGCCACGCACGCCACGCACGCACGCACGCAAGCACGCACGCACGCCACGCACGCTCGCCACGCACGCACGCCTCGCACGCACGCCACGCACGCAAGCCACGCACGCACGCCACGCACGCACGCCACGCACGCATGCCAAGCACGCACGCCACGCACGCACGCCACGCATTCACGCCACGCACGCACGCCACGCACGCACGCCACGCACGCACGCCACGCACGCACGCCCCGCACGAACGCCACGCACGCCACGCTCGCCACGCCGCCACGCACGCCACGCACGCCACGCACGCACGCCACGCACGCCACGCACGCCACGCACGCCACGCTCGCCACGCCGCCACGCACGCCACGCACTCCACGCACGCCACGCACGACACGCACGCCACGCACGCACGCACGCACGCACGCACGCACGCACGCCACGCACGCACGCCACGCACGCACGCCACGCACGATCGCCACGCACGCACGCCACGCACGCACGCCACGCACGCACGCCACTCACGCACGCCACGCACGCACGCCACGCACGCCTCCACGCACGCACGCCACGCACGCACGCCACGCACGCACGCCACGCACGCACGCCACGCACGCACGCCACGCACGCACGCCACGCATGCCTTAGGTTTGATGGCTTGGTGACTATTGATGAAAAACTGGATCCATTCCGTGATCGTTGTCCATTTCGCCAGTACATGCCGAAGAAGCCTGCCAAATACGGAATAAAAATATTTGTAATGGCTGACTCAAGAACTTACTATTCGGCATGTTTAGAAGTCTACACCGGAAGGCAAAATTCAGGACCACATGCTGTAAGTAACTCTCCTCCAGATGTCGTGAAACGTTTGGTTGAGCAAATAAGAGGGCCTCATCGTAACGTGGTAATGGATAATTGGTTCACGAGTATCCCATTGATGACAGAATTGTATGAAGATTATGAGCTTACGGTTGTAGGGACTCTTCGTAAAAATAAACCAGAAATACCCCCATGCTTTGTTGTTCATGGACGAGAAGAATGGACTACTTACTTTGGCTTTAAGCCTAATTGTACATTAGTATCGTACTCACCAAGAAAGGAAAAAGTGGTGCTTCTTGCTTCTACAATGCATCATGATGCGAAAATAGATGTTGATACAGGAGATAAACGCAAGCCAGAAGTGATAACGCATTATAATACGCATAAATGTGGAGTGGACGTGGTTGACGAGATGTGTGGTACATATTCTGTATCAACAGTAAGTAAAAAATGGCCACTAACGATATTTTTTGGACTTATGAATGTGGGATGTATAAATGCGTTTGTTATTTATAACGCAAATATAACGCATATAAATCAAGAACCCCTCGAAAGACGTAACTTTTTAAAAGACATAACTTTGTAGCGGCTCTGTCGTTGCCGCCACAAGCGAAAACACACCGAAGCCTAAATCGCGCTATCAACATTCCGAATCATAAACAGTATATATAGAACATCTCCGAACTATCACACGGAGTGTCGGCCGCTCCCCGGGCAGAACACCTTGCCCGGCGGGAGATCTCCCCTTTTCCTTCACGGCCACAGTGGAGGCCCGACGTGATTTGAACACGCAACCAAAACAACCTTCGGAAACTTCAAGCTTCATCATCGTCATATAATACCCCACCCATTCGCTCCCCAACAGATATCGTCTGCAGTCTTCATATCCTGCAAGTCATCTAGCTTCACAAGGTTCATCGCAGCACTGGAATAATAATGCTTCCTGTTCCTTCAAGCTACTATCTGCGCTACAGTGTACGGCACGGCTCTGAGCCTTACTGCTCGCCTCTGCTTCACGGCACTCTCGCAGATTACTTGCCTTCTTCTCGACTCACCGCAGACTACAAGGCAATCCACTGGCACTTGCACATTCGTCGGCAACAAGGCTGCACTAACGACCTCCGGTCTGAGCAGGGGGGTGATGTAGCGGCGCTGTCGTTGCCGCCACAAGCGAAAACACACCGAAGCCTAAATCGCGCTATCAACATTCCGAATCATAAACAGTATATATAGAACATCTCCGAACTATCACACGGAGTGTTGGCCGCTCCCCGGGCAGAACACCTTGCCCGGCGGGAGATCTCCTTATGATGTACACAGCAAGACAGTAACGGTATTTTTCTACGGAAAACTTAAAAGTTTAAAGTTAAAAATAAAGCTAAAACTAAAAATACTTCGAATTCCAAGCTTCGAACTTCGAATCTTATCAATCATGTCTTCTGTGTGGAAGTTCTTCAAAAAAGAAGACAACAACAATGATTCAGCTTCTTGCAATTTGTGCGGCAAGTCGTATAAAACGTGCGGTAATACAACCAATTTGGCCACTCATTTAAAAAATAGGCATCATTTTGCTTATTTGCAAATGATGAAAATGCCTAGTTCATTGAAAACAACTAAATCTAGTGAAGAAACTGAAGACGCTGCGGCAGTAGACTTGAATAACTCCAATGTAATGTATCTACTGTTAATGTAAGATTATCAAATATTAATATATCCTAAAGTATATAACCTAAAATCTTTGAGTATTTAATATAACAGCAATAATAAATCAAAGACTAAAATAAACTAAACAAGTTGTCTCTCTATAATAATAATAGACTGAGTCGAATTAACTTTTTTTGTATTAACTTTCTTTTTTACTTTTTCTATATTTTCAGCTTAGTTTGCCATCCACTAGTACTGGTTATAAAAATTCCCAGCAAAGTCAAGAAGATGTCACAGTCAATCCTGCTGAGATGGTTTATCATGAAGCTAAAAAAAGAAAACAAAGCACCTTAGTAGCTTGTTTAGAGAGAGGCTCAAGCTTCGAAGGTATGTTACTGCAAAGTAAGGTGTTTTTTTTTTTGTTTTTCCTTTTCCTACTACGGCCACAACTTTATCCCTTGTTAAACCACAAATAGAAAAGAGGTCTTCTATTACGACTCTGCCCAGACACATTCGGAGCAGAATGTTTCAAGTACTTGGCAGAGAAGAAAGTACAGATCAAACGGCATCGGCTGGGCCTAGTAACATTCGTGGGAGGTGTTCCACCTACCCCCCTAAAAAAGGATAGAAAATCCAAAACTCAATGCCAAATATGTAAATCTTTCATATGTAGAGATCACACCGCATTTTTATGCATTAATTGTAATCAGAAAATGAGTCAAAAGTAAGATAAGACGGCAAGAAGACTAATTAGAAAACAAATAAGAAATATTTTGAGAAAGATTTTTATGATAAGTTTGAAAGCTGCTTATAAAAAAACTTGTTACGTTAAATGTTTTATTTTATTAATTGTTTGGGGGGGGGGAATTTATTAGTTTTTGTAAGAATAATGTTTTTTTTTTATCAGTTATACTAGAATAAAAAAGTTAGACTGTGATTCTGATTCCTATGCATAAAAAAGTAAGATTTAGTAGCACTTAACTCTTTGCTATTGTGATAAAAATAAAAAATAAATCAAAATATATAAATATTTGTGACTCATTATTGTTCTACTTACCCTTTTCTTTTACGTTTATATAAAAAAAAATATAATTCCCTTTATTGGCATAGAATAACGTACTTAACTTTGGGGTCTTTTAGACCCTCACGCGACCGCTTATGTCACAAAATGAGACGCGAGTACCGGCGGGTTAAACATAGTTGCTAGCAACATTCTCGCCGCTCACCAACAATGTTAATCAACTGTTGCTAAGCAAATGTTTACCATGAATACGGGGCTTAACATAGTTAGCAACATGCAACACATGATCAGGAGTAGGATAAATCACAACATTGTAATAACGATAAAAATAATAAGTATAGGAAAATAAATAAGTAAATGTGATAGTATTGTTATATAGATAAAAATATAAATATAAATAACAGTCAAAACAAGAATAAAGTAATTAAGCGAGGTTTTAATAACAATGTTTCGTAAAAAAAAAGTTAAACACCGACGAAGAAAATTAATTGATAAGAATGTTATCTCATTTGTACAAAATTAGAAAGTATGTAATTGTCATGACGAATGGGAGAAAGGAATGTACGAACGTGCGAGTACGAATGATTTAGTTGCTAAGTTTCTTCAATATTGGACTGATCACCCAAATATTGATGATGCTTAAACTGTGCGAGTTGAAATGAGCGAGAATAATGCAAGGTAGTATATGGAAGTGGAGCACGAAAGTATATAAATAAATAACAAGGTATTGAAGAAATAAAGACGGAATAAATATTTATGATAATAATAAAATAAAAAAAATATCACGGAACAAGGGAACGTCTATCACTGGAAAAGCATATAGTCCTCGAGCAAGGTATGCTTCCGTGATAGGATGATAAAATCGGGAGTAACTGGTACTAGGGAACAACGCCTTCAGTACAAGTGATGTATATGAGTTTACTCATATTAGTACTGTTAGGGAGCAGAGAAGTCTTAAATTTGTTACCCTTAATAATGGTACATTAAGGTAGGCTTGGGTAAAAAATATCGATATATCGAAATATCGATATTTTTTCATAAAATAATCGATATATATCGTCGATATTTTTAATCGCGATATATCGTCATTCCGATATTTATTTTAGAGTATCGAATTCGTATCAATTTCGATATATTTTTACGCAATTCTTGTTTCGTTTATTTAAAAAAAAATCTCGTTACAATCTTCATCAAATCGAATATTGCAGTAAGACCATAGACCAAACATAAGCATTTTTTTGTCTTTTGCTTTTGGTTTTGTTTATGGTCTCACTGTTACGATTCGTAAGTCGTAACTTGTGTCTCGTAACTTACGAATTCAAATTTGTATTTTGTGTTTATGATGTACACAGCAAGACAGTAACGGTATTTTTCTACGGAAAACTTAAAAGTTTAAAGTTAAAAATAAAGCTAAAACTAAAAATACTTCGAATTCGAAGCTTCGAACTTCGAATCTTATCAATCATGTCTTCTGTGTGGAAGTTCTTCAAAAAAGAAGACAACAACAATGATTCAGCTTCTTGCAATTTGTGCGGCAAGTCGTATAAAACGTGCGGTAATACAACCAATTTGGCCACTCATTTAAAAAATAGGCATCATTTTGCTTATTTGCAAATGATGAAAATGCCTAGTTCATTGAAAACAACTAAATCTTGAATAACTCCAATGTAATGTATCTACTGTTAATGTAAGATTATCAAATATTAATATATCCTAAAGTATATAACCTAAAATCTTTGAGTATTTAATATAACAGCAATAATAAATTAAAGACTAAAATAAACTAAACAAGTTGTCTCTCTATAATAATAATAGACTGAGTCGAATTAACTTTTTTGTATTAACTTTCTTTTTTACTTTTTCTATATTTTCAGCTTATTTTGCCATCCACTAGTACTGGTTATAAAAATTCCCAGCAAAGTCAAGAAGATGTCACAGTCAATCCTGCTGAGATGGTTTATCATGAAGCTAAAAAAAAGAAAACAAAGCACCTTAGTAGCTTGTTTAGAGAGAGGCTCAAGCTTCGAAGGTATGTTACTGCAAAGTAAGGTGTTTTTTTTTGTTTTACTTTTTAAATGAAAATGTGTTAATAGCAAGTAATTTCTTATAGTTATAATAAATTTATTAAATAAATGAAATTAACCATGTTGAATAAAATTAGCATATCCAAATTCATTCATAACAATCTACAATTTCATAAATTATCAATTTATATTAAATTAGTCATGTTTCATGTCAGGTCACTAGCGGCTATTTAATACCACCTTAAAATTCAATCAATTTTGTTCGATAAAATAACTTTACCTAAAGAATGGAAGGGACAGCCTGTGGACGCACCAGTCAAATTATAATTCTGAATTTCGGTAAAACTTTGAGAAAATTGAGGGGTTTTACTGAATGTGAAACGAATTTCGGTGCATCACTACTTTTTAATACGAATTTTAAATAGTATAGTTGTCGTCGGGCCTTATAAGTACGCACACCTCGTTGAGTTTGCTCTTCACAAATAATAAACAAAAAGTGGTTGAGAGTGACTTTTGAAAGTATGTTTTTGTTCTGCCACTTCAGTTTTTGTGTGTATCAAACATTAACTTTAAAAAAATTAGTCAGTGATATTCGCAATTAATAATAATCAATAAAAAATCCGATCCGTTCAGTGTTCTCTTACCGTCAATAGCAATAAATGTTATAAGTACGCACACCTCTTTGAGTTTGCTCTTAACAAATAATAAACAAAAAGTGGTTGAAAGTGACTTTTAAATGTATATTTTTGTTCTGTTACTTCAGTTTTTGTGTGTATCAAACAATTAACTTTAAATAATTAGTCAGTGATTATTCGCAATTAATAATAATCAATAAATATCCGATCCGTTTCAATGTTCTATTACCGTCAAATAGTAATAAGTGATACACACACACACACACACACACGCACACGCGCACGCGCACGCGAGGACGCGCGCACGCGCACGCACACGCGCACACCCGCACACGCACGCACACGCACACACACGCACATACACGCACATACACGCACACGCACACGCACACACGCACGCCACGCACGCACGCCACGAACGCACTCCCCGCACGCACGCCACGCACGCACGCCACGCACGCGCCACGCACGCCAGCCACGCACGCACGCCACGCCACGCCACGCACGCACGCCACGCACGCACGCCACGCACGCGCAAGCTACGCACGCACGCTACGCACGCACGCCACGCACGCACGCCACGCACGCACGCCACGCACGCACGCCACGCACGCACGCCACGCACGCACGCCACGCACGCACGCCACGCACGAACGCCACGCACGCACGCCACGCACGCACGCCACGCATGCCTTAGGTTTGATGGCTTGGTGACTATTGATGAAAAACTGGATCCATTCCGTGATCGTTGTCCATTTCGCCAGTACATGCCGAAGAAGCCTGCCAAATACGGAATAAAAATATTTGTAATGGCTGACTCAAGAACTTACTATTCGGCATGTTTAGAAGTATACACCGGAAGGCAAAATTCAGGACCACATGTTGTAGATAACTCTCCTCCAGATGTCGTGAAACGTTTGGTTGAGCAAATAAGAGGGTCTCATCGTAACGTGGTAATGGATAATTGGTTCACGAGTATCCCATTGATGACAGAATTGTATGAAGATTATGAGCTTACGGTTGTAGGGACTCTTCGTAAAAATAAACCAGAAATACCCCCATGCTTTGTTGTTCATGGACGAGAAGAATGGACTACCTACTTTGGCTTTAAGCCTAATTGTACATTAGTATCGTACTCACCAAGAAAGGGAAAAGTGGTGCTTCTTGCTTCTACAATGCAATGAAAATAGATGTTGATACAGGAGATAAACGCAAGCCAGAAGTGATAACGCATTATAATACGCATAAATGTGGAGTGGACGTGGTTGACGAGATGTGTGGTACATATTCTGTATCAACAGTAAGTAAAAAATGGCCACTAACGATATTTTTTGGACTTATGAATGTGGGATGTATAAATGCGTTTGTTATTTATAACGCAAATATAACGCATATAAATCAAGAACCCCTCGAAAGACGTAACTTTTTAAAAGACATAGCTTTATCCCTTGTTAAACCACAAATAGAAAAGAGGTCTTCTATTACGACTCTGCCCAGACACATTCGGAGCAGAATGTTTCAAGTACTTGGCAGAGAAGAAAGTACAGATCAAACGGCATCGGCTGGGCCTAGTAACATTCGTGGGAGGTGTTCCACCTACCCCCCTAAAAAAGGATAGAAAATCCAAAACTCAATGCCAAATATGTAAATCTTTCATATGTAGAGATCACACCGCATTTTTATGCATTAATTGTAATCAGAAAATGAGTCAAAAGTAAGATAAGACGGCAAGAAGACTAATTAGAAAACAAATAAGAAATATTTTGAGAAAGATTTTTATGATAAGTTTGAAAGCTGCTTTTAAAAAAACTTGTTATGTTAAATGTTTTATTTTATTAATTGTTTGGGGGGGGGGGGGGATTTATTAGTTTTTGTAAGAATAATGTTTTTTTTTTATCAGTTATACTAGAATAAAAAAGTTAGACTGTGATTCTGATTCCTATGCATAAAAAAGTAAGATTTAGTAGCACTTAACTCTTTGCTATTGTGATAAAAATAAAAAACAAATCAAAATATATAAATATTTGTGACTCATTATTGTTCTAGTTACCCTTTTCTTTTACGTTTATATAAAAAAAATATAATTCCCTTTATTGGCATAGAATAATGTACTTAACTTTGGGGTCTTTTAGACCCTCACGCGACCGCTTATGTCACAAAATGAGACGCGAGTACCGGCGGGTTAAACATAGTTGCTAGCAACATTCTCGCCGCTCACCAACAATGTTAATCAACTGTTGCTAAGCAAATGTTTACCATGAATACGGGGTTTAACATAGTTAGCAACATGCAACACATGATCAGGAGTAGGATAAATCACAACATTGTAATAACGATAAAAATAATAAGTATAGGAAAATAAATAAGTAAATGTGATAGTATTGTTATATAGATAAAAATATAAACATAAATAACAGTCAAAACAAGAATAAAGTAATTAAGCGAGGTTTTAATAACAATGTTTCGTAAAAAAAAGTTAAACACCGACGAAGAAAATTAATTGATAAGAATGTTATCTCATTTGTACAAAATTAGAAAGTATGTAATTGTCATGACGAATGGGAGAAAGGAATGTACGAACGTGCGAGTACGAATGATTTAGTTGCTAAGTTTCTTCAATATTGGACTGATCACCCAAATATTGATGATGCTTAAACTGTGCGAGTTGAAATGAGCGAGAATAATGCAAGGTAGTATATGGAAGTGGAGCACGAAAGTATATAAATAAATAACAAGGTATTGAAGAAATAAAGACGGAATAAATATTTATGATAATAATAAAATAAAAGAAAATATCACGGAACAAGGGAACGTCTATCACTGGAAAAGCATATAGTCCTCGAGCAAGGTATGCTTCCGTGATAGGATGATAAAATCGGGAGTAACTGGTACTAGGGAACAACGCCTTCAGTACAAGTGATGTATATGAGTTTACTCATATTAGTACTTAATTAATTAAGTACGGAATTAATTATATTTAATCTAATATATTTATTGTTGTGAGAGAGGGGGAAAGCGTTACAGTTTCAAAACATTTAAATAGGCTGACGAATCAATTTTGCTCAGTTTCCTTTTAATGGCTGCATCTCTGACAAATCTATAAACTCAGTTTTCTTTCAATTCAAAAAGCAATGGATAGTTCATTTCCCAGTGACCATGCGGGCGAAGCCGCGGGTAACAGCTAGTTTATTAATATGGCATAAGATTCAAGAAAAAGTAAAATGGAAAAAAAGTAAATAGAGAAGATTCCCTTTTTTTTTTAAAGAATCGAGGAGGTGTAGTGTATGTGCCTCCACCCTACTAGCATATATTAATAAATGTACTCTTAGTTTTAAGCGATAGAATGATTAAAGTCTTGAGCATAGAAACACGTTTCCATTTCATTTAACAAACGTCCAACATTACAACCACGACAATGCACCGGCCCACACCTCCTCACTCGCCACGGCTAAATTGTTCAAATTGGGCTACGAACTGCTGCCCCATCCACCGTATTCGCCAGATTTGGTTCCGTGCGACTTCTTTTTGTTTCCCAACTTGAAAAAGTCACTTGCCGGGCAGAAATTTCACTCGAATGAGGAAGTAATTACCGCCACGAAGGCCTACTTTGCAGACCTCGAGAAAACTTTTTTTCAGACGGGTGAAAGAAGTCTGACTTCCGCTGGGTCTAGTGTATCGAACTAAAAGGAGATTATATTGAAAAACAAATTGCATTTTTTCCAAAATTTTTGTTTTTTCATTTGTAGACTAAGTACTTATCGGACCACCCTCGTAACCACGATTTATGGCCATAATTTTACAATGCCAATCAATATGACAAATGGCGGTAGACAATAGCTCCGGCAGCGGTTGTTTTTTCGCACATCAAAGAAGAGTATCCCAATAATTAATGCGTTTGGCCACACTACCGTGTTTCCAGTTTGCAACATGAGCTCAACGGCGCCGCACGTATCAACCGTTCGAAAGTCTAACCTTGTACGGCTTCTGTGCATTTTTATCATTCACCATCTTCTTTTTTATATTGCTTTAGCTTTGTAAAAATTTAAAAGATTCATGTACTAATAATCGGCACTCATAAAACACAACACAGCTGCAACTTCAACCTCCATCTTGAAAAATGATAGTCCCCGCCTAATTTACTATCTATAAACTCTAGTGTAACCACACCACTTAACGCAGTGATTTAAACGGTATTTCAATGCCATAATTATTGCGGTAAACAGGCGCGCTTGTTTACCGCAATAATTATGGCATTGAAATACGGTAAGGTACGGTAGTGTAGCCGTAGCATAAGAGTGTGATACAAATATGGCAAATCGACAATAATTATCGCAACATATTGTCGACGCACACTTCATGTATGGCTTTTG